AACAAAACCATGAAATGTCTACTTACAACAAAGAGAGATGTTTTCTGGTGGGCACAAGAACAAGAATGAAGTGGCACATACAAAGAGGAAGTCCAAAGCACAACTTAGGTTCCAAGATTTGCGCCACAATGATGGCAAGCAAACATAAATAAAGGGCTAGGGACAGAGTTCAGTGGTAGAGTGCTTGCCTAGCATGTGCAAGGCCCTGGTTTCTGTCCCTAGCACCATTAAAGAAAAAAAAAAAAGTCTAGATAGATAGGCAGATCAATAGATAAAGTCAACTTGACAATCTCTTTAAATAGCCCATCACATATGGTACCCTTACTTAGTATCTTTATTTTTAAATTCTACATAAGCCTGTACTTAAATTTTACCCCTCAAATATCTAAAGTAAATAAGAGTTAGTATAAAATACTAAATGTTCCTATCTGACTGCTGGATTTACTCCTTTATTTTGTTATTAAACCTCAATAGCTTAAATATAAGTTACCGTATTGTGATTGACTTGGTTGAACAAAGTGGAGAAGCGTGTATTGGGGGTAGGAGATGAACAGATGCTAAAGTTGAAGGCAAACTAAGTGTACATAAATTGTTGTCCCACTGTAGCTGCAACTCAGATATTATTTTCTAAGGAGTGTGGCTTACTCCATCAGTACCAAACCTAAAAGGACTACCTGTAAGTTCTATTAGTACTATTGAATGCAATTTCTCAAATCTGAAGGTATTGATGAACTTAGAGGCCATTTAACAATTTGTTCACAGCAGATTATTCAGAAACTATGTAAAAGGTATTGATATAAGTTACCTACAAAGATATATTAAGCAGAATAAAAATATATACAGATAGAGCAAAATATGGTTCTGATATTATCTATAAATTCTACCAAAGGATTGCTGGGCTAATGGCCAGAGTAAAAAACTGCTAGCATGGGTACCATCATTGTTCTGTTCTGGGTCAACACTCTCATCTTGGTTCTGGGTCAGCATTAACATTTAAGATTGCAATATTTCATTTTTCCAAAACAAATCTAGAGCTTAGTTTGGCAACAAAAATGACAAACTGAATTAAATTAGATCACAAAGTCTTCAGTTAGACTGGAATCCTCGCTTTGAACAGATTCATCCTTTTTTTTTCTTTCTTTTTTCTTTTTTTTATTAGTTGTTCAAAACATTACAAAGCTCTTGACATATCATATTTCATACATTTGATTCAAGCGGATTATGCAGATTCATCTTTTATCCATATCCCAACTGCCTAAAATGTATGACAGTCTATATCACTTCCTATTTTCAGTGTATCTCAACAAAGGAGGAATAAAGTACCATTTTGAACACAAAACATAAGTGTATGTAATTTCAGACAAAATCAAGGCATAATAGGTAAACAACCCTAGCTGAATGACAACAAAAAATACTAAGGATCTTCCATTTCTGTCCTATAGAGTACCACTCACTTGACAAAATTACTTTTTAACAAAAAATAACAAACTTACTTATCCAGAATGAACATTGTCTTTCCAATCATTTTATATGCAGCACAAGATTTAATACAAAATAGGTTTTGTCAATTATTTCTAAAATGTTTTAAATAACAAATGTTACTAAAAAGCAAAACTATTTGTTCTATTTATTTTGAAGAATATCAATGTCATTACCATCAATTTGAAAATTCATGGCATTCTCATAACCAAGATAAATTAAAAATATTTAGCTTTTTGCATTCCAAATCCTTCTTTTATACATAAGCATATGGGTATTTAAATCTATAACAACACTTTCCAAATACTGACATTAGCGAACTTTGGAGGGAAGATCTTTGACCATTAGGATTTTACTCAGAAAGCCTCCAAATTTCCACTAATAAACTATAACAGGTCTGAGACTTTTTTTTTCCTCAGATAAAAAAAGTGGAGGTGAATCTATTCATTACACACTACTGCACTAAATGTGCCCCTCTCAAACCTTCCAGGATATTCTTTGATTATAAAGAAATGTGTTTAAATTATTCTATATAAACAATTGAACAATACATAATTTGGAGTGTTCCTTTTCTTGCTCTAAATATTCAAACCTGCCAGTTTTCCAGGATGAAGCACTGACAGCTATACTTTCATCCATGACCTGTAAAGCTGGGTTACCACTCACCTGTCCCCACCTTTCAGATATGTCTTATGACAAGAAAGTCAATTTCTTTCCTTATAAGCTGAGATATAAAATCATAATCTGATTTATTAGGGTGACTGGAATACAACTAGTTGTCCCATTCCTTTTCAGGTTATCATAGTCAATGAAGGCAAACTAAAGTGCCAATTTGAAGATTTGGAGGGAAAAAAAAAACTTTTTCTGCTTCACAACACCACAGATATTTCAAGTAATATTTGGGATGGAAATAAAATTAGTAAGTGAAACAATATTTTTCATTGTAGAAAGAGATGAATCCCAACAGCTAACTTATTGGCCCATTATGAAGTTTAAAAAAGCTAATGAATGATTGATTGGTAACCTATAGAACACTATAGAACATGGAATGTAAGCCCCCACATAGGTAGTTATTTCTTTTGTTCCATTATTATGCCAAGATTCTAAAACAGAAGTTATACATGAGATACCCTCAGTAAGCATTTGCTAAATTAAATATATAGTATAATTAGTAGTAGGTAATCAAAATTATGAAGCAAAAATACACATGGTGGCATAAATCCCTTCAATTTTAAATAATGCTATATTTCATTAATGCACTTAAAAATAACTCTGCATGTCCTTATTCAACATCTAGACAGATGCAATCAACAAATTAAGTTTGAAATAAAGTGGATTTTCAATATGTACAAATTATTAAAATCATATTTTATAATTTTACCCCAAGTTAGTGTCTAAAAGATTAGTACTAATTGTTCACTGATATTGTTTTCTTTCTGAAAACAACAGCTCTTTTATGCTCTCTACAGAACATCAATCACTAGTTCATACTCACCTAATTTCTAGGTAACAGCTAAAATCATTGGCACTCATTATAACTTCATAATTTACACTACATAAAGAATTTCTATGACATTTAGTAAGACAAGAATCTGTCACTTAAATAAAACTAGGACAATGTTCAGAAAATTATATCATTTGTTAAATTATAAAAATAAATGTAAAATCTGGTTTTAAATAGCACAAACTTATGGGGCTTTTTCCTTTTTTAGATATTTTCCCACTTTCAAAAATTAGATGCATTCTTTACAAAAATGCCCTTTGAAACAAAAGGTTGTTTGTTCAAGTGAAAACTAAACTAGGAACACATCAAGTCTTCATGAGGGTTGACCAAAACATTTGATAATACATACGCTTAATCTTTCATTTAAAAGGAAATATATATTCTTGTACCCTCTTATTTATTCCAAAAAATAATTTTTGAGTTTTTATACTTTAATATGTGCACAAGAATGAATATGCTCCTGAAAATAAAAACAACATAGTTAGGAAATCCTTTGCCCACCCATTGTGATATTTTGAAAGAAATGGATACATACATGAAATAATTTTAATGGTTATTGGACAATCTGAATTTGATGTGCATTTGGTTTATTTAATTGGTAAAATCCTCACAGTTTAAATTATGTAATTTTTCATGGTTGAAAAGCCAATCACTAACAATTTAAGAATTCTTGAAAAATAATTTCTACAAACACAATACCAATCCATCAAGTTATTCAAATCAACAAAGTTTCTTGACAATTTATGAGATTACTTACTAATTCTTTGTTTATGTAACCCTGCTTTACATGTTTCTAATTTTCCTCATATTTCAAAAGCAAAGTGCTCCACACTTACAAGGCACATAAGCCTTGCCTTAACTTTATCTGTTCCTGTTCCTAAATGCATTTAGGTTTTACACTATGTGAATGAGACCTGTGTTCATATAATTATATTTGTTCCATTCTGTTAGTGACCATTTCAAGCTGAAAGACTAGGACAGGTTCTAAACATGTTAAATTCTATAAAGCCATTAGTAATAAATTTGATCCGGCAGTTTGCTGGGACAATGGAAACTGCTGAAAAAGCGTCTATTAGTCATTCTGAACAAATCCACTGGGATTAAAAGAATGAGTTAAGATCGTCTAAGGACGCAGCCAAAAATTAATCCAATTGGTTCTCAGTTTCCAAGTCTCTAAGAAACATATCCTTTTATCATCGCTAATTTAGGCAGCCTCCCTATAAACTTTACCTAATGTTTGACTCAACAGTCTGCATCCTTCGTCCCAATTCAACGCAAATAAATAACACGGTATAAAGCTAGCTTTTATATGGTAACTAATGTAAACCCACACTGTCCTTCTCTTGGTAAATTCCCATTTATTGGTGAACTTCCTACTCCAGTTGCCAATTCAGCTGTTTTTCAGCTCAGCGCGAAGAAAAAAGTCGGCCTTGATTTCTTTGCGCCTAGAACGTTCCAAAATGTTAAAAAGGAAAGAGAGCCAAAACTTTGCTCAAGTCTTCTTCCAAAGACCTTCGCAAGCGTTCCTGAACTACCCAGACCGTCGCAGCGGTGGATGGCAACAGCCCGCAAAGCGGGCCTCTGGAGCTCTCCTTGCCAAGAACTTTCCGGAGGGCGGCCTTCGGGACAGGAGCAGGCAGACTAAAAACGCTGTACTTGGGAAACCCCATGAAACTGGTCCAGCCTCACAGGCATCTCGGAACTGAGATGCCCTTTCCGGTTGGAGGTGCCTTCAGGGTTTTCCCGTTAAAGCCCCAAAGTCAAAGTAGCCCTACCACCTGTCCAAAGAAGGAGACAGGACAGAAACTATGGGCTGAGATGGGGCAAAATAATAATAATAATCATCACAAAAAGTGGTGGTTCCCTCTTACTCCCCAAGTGGCATCTCCACTAAATCTCGACATGCTCCAGGAAGGTCCCAGGCTGGCACTCCCTTGGTGCAGTGCGCAATGCTGGCGAGCCCAGTGGGGCGCCCGCCTGGGCATCGGCGCGGCTGAGAAAGGAAGAGCTGGCTCACCTGGGGCAGAAGGCTGGAAAGCACAATCTCGGTCCTCCGGAGCCCGGCCCGGCAGCCTCGCGCCGTCCGCCGAGGGGCTGAGCACTTGAAACGCCCACCGCGTGCCGTAGGGTGCCCCGGCGGGGCCGACTTGCTCGGCTGTTGGGCACAGCTTGAGGGGAACGGGGCTGGCGGGCAGGGGCCGGAGCTGCGCGCCCGCAGCTGTGACTAGGGAGGCCGCCGGGCCGTGGGGTGGGGGTGGCTGCAGCCCGTGGGCCGGGGAGCCTCCGACCCGCAGCAAGTTCTCGATCAGGAAACTCTTGCCCAGGTTGCCAAAGCCCGGTGCTGCCGGGAGATTGAGGAGCGCGGAGGAAGCCACCACGTCCCAGTACGCGCCCGCTGCCACGGCGCTGGGGAGCATAGTGCGGCGCCCGCGGGCCAGTTGCACCCGCCTCTAGCCCGCGCCCCGCGCCGGACCCGGCCACCGCTTCTCGCCGCTGCCTCCCCCGGGCTGGAGTGCTCTGAGCCCAACCGGGAGGAGAGGGCACCGAGGACGCTGCAGGCTTGGAACGGTATTATTTATTTGCGTTGGTCGTTTCTTTTTTTAAGGGATGGGAGGAGTGAGGGTGGGAGGGGGAAGCGGTGCGTCCCCCTGACCGGCCGCGTAAACTCTGGGAGCGCCGGGGGTGGGGTGGGGGGATGTATACAGATCGGGACGTTTTTTTTTTTTTTTTCTTTTTTTTTTCTTTTTTTCTAGAAGGACAGAAGGTGTGTCCAGCCCATCCATTCATGTCACAAGGCCCACAAAGTGACAGACGCGGACAACAATAAGGGCAACCCGAGAGTCCGTGCAGTGGCAATGGGAGGGGACTCTTGCAGGAGGAGGTGGGCATGGAGGCGACTTGAATCGGGGGCGCTAGCCTCCTCCCGACGACAGGCTAAATCGTGGCCCTATCGCTGGAGCCCGGCTGCCCTGGGCGCGAGGTCCCATGGACACCTCATGGAGCGCTCTGAGAGACATGTGGGCGCTCCACCAACCACCTGATGACCCTTGGCATCCCTGTGTTGGTTGTCACCTCAGACACCAATGGGCATCTAGAAGACATAAACAGGAGTCACTGAAGGGCTATTGTCATCAGGGAAAGTGGAACATTGGATTGAGACTTGTGGTTGTACCACTGAAAATTACCTTTTAAAGAGTGCGTTGTTTGTGTGTTATATGAGGCCCTTGTTTTGTAAGGGGAAAGGAAATATACTTTTCTTGGGGGATCTTTTGAGAAATTGCTTAGTTTTAGTAGTTCATTTTAAGATTTGTTTTAAGGATTTTGGAGAAAGCTGCCTACAGTTCCTTTGCCCTAAAAGAGATGATCTAATAAATTTTTATCTAGAGAAGATCAATCACTTGTCAGAGTTGGTTATGCCAAATGATAGATGGTTAAGTCTAATCCCAAGGAAGAAAAGCTTCTTAGCCATTTGTGGTTGGGTACTGTTCTGCAAAGAGATGGGGATGAAAACACTGCATTATTCAAGATTATAGTTGCTCCCTTCGTTTCCTGAAAATTTAAGTATTTTTAATGTATTAACAGTTTGCTAAGTGGAGACAACTGATGAAAAGTGTGTGTGTGTGTGTGTGTGTGTGTGTAAGAGGCTTTTAATTAAAATGCAACTTTAAAATTTTCTCATTTTGGAAAGTATATCAATGGAGTGTTAAAACTGTGACTTTTTTGTCGGTTAACACTTAGAATTGCCACTCTTCTGCCCAAATTTAGATAAACTTATTTAGAATAATGTTGTGTAAGGATGTTTGCAAAGTTAGAAGTCACATGTATAGTTTTGCTCTTTACCCTAAAAATAATTTGTTCTCTGACTTCAGTTTACTTAAAAGCTTAACTGGAGTTGCCAGGCTACTGATAATGAAATAGGTTTCCTTTAAAAAATTATTTTTTTCTTTTTCTTTCTTTTATTTATTTCGTGTGTGTGTGTGTGTGTGTGTGTGTGTGTGAATTGGTTGATTTTATTTCATTTACACTAGCTTTGTCTCAAGTTTTGTTTAAAAGCCCACCTTTTCCAAAAATGACCATAGATTGCTAAGTTAGTAAAATTGGAATTGTTTTTTAATCTGATAGTTTTATCATCTGATCGTAAAGGGGATGCAGTGAATTGCAAGATTGTTCTATGCTACCAATATTCATTCACTCCTTAATTTAGTCCACAGACTTTTACTGAACATTTAATATGTATGAACACTTGTAGCGGTCCTAGAGAGAAAGATCTGGCCCTTGCCTTGTAGGAATTCATAGCCTAGGAGCAGGAGGAAATCAAGTAAGATCTGAGAAAGGCCTTCAAATGTAAAAAGGAATAGGTGGGAGGAAAATTTTCTAGAGGAAGTCTAACCTGAACTGAGTCAAAAGGTGAATATTGTAGTCATGGGGGATAGGATGTGAAATAATGACATTTGAGATGAGCAGAGAAAAAAAAGACTACATGATCATCATCATCTTTATATCATAGCCACCATTTTTACCCAGTGTTTGCATCCACCCACAGTACTAGACGCTTTGTACATATTAACTCATTTATCTTCACAATAGTACTATAAGGTTGGTACTATTATTATTCCCAGTCTCAGTGGTGTGGCACAGAGAATTTAAGTAACTTTGCTAATGCTACACAACTATCAGAGTGATGAGACGGAGTTGCAACACAAGATGAATGACTCTACAGTTTGACTGTCATGCTGAATTGTGTCACCTGGCTATTCCTACATGCAAGTGAGGCTGAAAAACAAGTATTTCTTTTTTTTTTCTTTTCTTTCTTTTTTTTTTTTTTTTTTTTTTTGTGGAAGGAAGCAAGGAAGATTTGAATCAATATGGACTATTGTGTTAGTTAGCTTGTCTTCCACAGCCAGATAGGAGGCAGTTGGAGAATGTTGACACAAAGCCATGTGGAATTTAATTGAATGAGTTGTAAGAAGAATGACAAGAAGGAACAAATGCTACAAATGTTAAATCTACAGGAGTGGATGATGACATAGAGTAGCTCTTAACCAGATGCAATTGTCCACTTCCCCAAGGAATATTTAGCAGTATCTGGAGATTTTGGACCTTGGTACAACACAGGGAAGGGATATTCTACTGGCATCTAGTAAATGGAGTTAGGGATTTTGCAAAAGATCCTACAATGCACAGCATAGGTTCCACAACAGAGAATATCTGGTGCCACAGTCTGGCTGGGCACAAAATCGCGAGCCACTCAAGCAAGAACAAACTTTATTTCCAAAACTCCCGCGAATGCCATGCACGCACGGCCTTCTCCGGGGACACACTACATCAACAGGAAATCCCTCCTCCGGAATTCCCCAACCAATGGGAACTCTCCCAGAGTCCCAGGAGAGCTCCAAAGTAGCAGGCCCAAGCAGGCCCAGGCGGACAGCAGGGGTCTAATCTCCAATTGAATGCACATCTTAACATAATTATTATCATCTCAATGGCTTGCTGGCGTCACCTTTCAACCAAAAATGCCATGCATCATTCCTACTTGGCTATGGCTCTTAGCAATCTGGCCCAAAATGTTAATACCTTGGTTATGGAGGATAACATATGTTATGTAGGATCACTTCCAGGTAGATGCTCTCTTATCAAGATGGGAACTTATAAGAAGAAATGTAGGTTTTATGTGCAGGAATGAACAAAAAGATGGAGATAGTTGCTTTGGCCCTCTACAGAATCTTCCAGAGAGACTATGTAGTCAGAAGAGAAATAAATCAAGAACAAAATCCTGGGGGAGGGGGGCAAAAGTGCCAGCACTTAAGGGAACAGATAAAAGAGGAACTATGAAGGAAAGAAAATAAGCAGCCAGGATCTGGAGACAGAAACTACCATGGTTTGAATAGTGATTAGGCCATGAGAACTCTGCTGTCACAAATAGACTAATACTGATTATAAAAGGGATTCAGGCTGTAAGTTCATTCTCTTGAAATCTTATTCTCTCTTTTCCTTTCTGCCATGGATGACAAAAGAAGAAGGCTCTTTCCAGATATAGATACCTTGATATTGGACTTTCTAGCTGCTAGAACTGTGAGAAATAAATTTCCTGTTTTATTGGTACATTATTATAATTATACTTAATAGTGGACCCCATTGTTACATATCCATAAATACACATAATATTATATTTTCATTTCATTCCCCATTACCTCTCCTTTCCCAGTACCTGTCCTTCCCACTGCTTCTTCTACTCTACAGGTCTCCCTTCAATATTCTACAAGACCAACCCCCCTGCATACCCCTTTTTCCCACTTTTATCCCTCTGGTTACTACATATGAGAGAAAATATATAACCCTTGACTTTCTGGGTCTAGCTTATTTTGTTTAACATGATGCTCTCCAGTTCCATCCATTTTCCTTCAAATGACATAATTTTGTTCTTTTTTATGGCTGACTAGAAATCCATTGTGTATACATACATATTTTCTTTATCTGTTTACCTATTGATGGACACCTAGGTTGTTTCCACAATTTGGCTATTGGAATTGTTCTTCTATAAACACAGGTATGCATATATTGCTATAGTATGGAATAGTATAGTATGACTTTAATTCTTTTGGATACATACTGAGGCATGATATAGCTCAACTTTTTTATGAATTACCTGTGTTGTTCTGTTATAGTAAAGAAAATGAACTCTGTGTTGAAAGAGATTTGATCTTCAAACTTATTTATTCAACTTATTAGCTATATGGGGTAGATAAGTTTCATTTATAGTCCAAATTAATGGGTTATTTTTGCCCAGCATTTTGTAGTCTCCTCTCATTATGATTCTGGGTTCAGTCATGTGCTTTGCTTTGGTTCAAATGATAGCAAATAAAGAATCAACAAATGGGACTTACTTAAACTGAAAAGTTTTTTCTCAGCAAGAGAAACAATAAGAGAGGTATATAGGGAGCCTACATCATGGGAACAAATTTTTACTCCTCACAATTCAGATAGAGCCCTAATAACCAGAGTATACAAAGAACTCAAAAAATTAGACAATAAGATAACAAATAACCCAATCAACAAATGGGCCAAGGACCTGAACAGACACTTCTCAGAGGAGGACATACAATCAATCAACAAGTACATGAAAAAATGCTCACCATCTCTAGCAGTCAGAGAAATGCAAATCAAAACCACCCTAAGATACCATCTCACTCCAGTAAGATTGGCAGCCATTAGGAAGTCAAACAACAACAAGTGCTGGCAAGGATGTGGGGAAAAGGGTACACTTGTACATTGCTGGTGGGACTGCAAATTGGTGCAGCCAATTTGGAAAGCAGTATGGAGATTTCTTGGAAAGCTGGGAATGGAACCACCATTTGACCCAGCTATTCCCCTTCTCTGTCTATTCCCTAAAGACCTAAAAAGAGCATGCTATAGGGAC